AACCAACCTTCCCGATTACTATCGTCGCAAGGTCTTCCCGAAGAAAGGAGTTCTTTTCCGGGATATCTCCCCCACCCTCTGATCGCCGTGATGGGACAAGAGGGCTAGGCACGACCAACCCCCGACGATATTCCACCCCCCTCGAACCTGGCCGGCTTTGGGAAGCCAATACGCTCTCCTCCATGCGGATCGATTCTCGCTTTGACGCCTGCTCCACGGCTTCAGTAGCAATAGCCACGTCAGAATTTGACTATCCTCATCGCATATTGCCGTGCTGGGATTAAGAGTGCTGCCGTGGTCTAATAGGAGTGGAAATCTTGGCCCTAGTAGTTCAATTCTCTCTCATAATCAGTTACCATTGAACCATCCATCACTCGAGGCAGGAAAACAGCAGATTCTGCAACAAGAGGACTAGGAGATTAAAAGTCATTAACTTCTAAACCACCGATACTGCAGCGTCATGAATCAGTCCTAGTAGGGTGCTATCGAACACGACTTTAGACCACGGCCCGGAACGAGGTCCGCGACGGACAGGTTAGCGGAAGAAAAATAAAGAAAATAGTGCCACAATCGGGAAGAAGGAAGAACCATTGCCCCGACCAAGAAAAGCTGCGCACTTCCAAATATTATACTGGCTCTCTATGGGCACAGGAGGGACCAAACTCTCTTATTGTGTGTATTATACGGTACCCGAGTATGACAAGACGGCGGCGTGAACCCTGTCCCTTACATACACTAGCATCCTAGTCATCTACCCATACCCGTACCCTACCGGTATTGAAGTCGGATTCCATTCCCCCGGCGAGGCTCAATCCGTGATAAGCGTGATGTCATGCTACTATCATATCCAGATTACAATACTGATACTTCCCTTCCGATAAGGGTGATATGACAGTCCCCTCTCCTGCCCTGTCCTCATACCCAGTCACTCGGTCTGCATTCAGTGCCTGCTATCCCACCCCGCCGGAACAAAAAAAAAAAGTATGATATTATGGTGTGATACCCGCTATGATACCAAGCCAAATACCCCACCCCCATCTCTCCCACGGCCATGTAAAATCCAGATCACGAGCACCCCGTGGATGGGGGACTAGCACCCCAAACCCACGCACTCCGGTTCAACAGCCAATCACATACGGTACATCCCGCCGAGCCATCACCACGTCGTGTTCGCCCCCAGGTCCGAGCGGTCAAATTGTTGGACCGAACTTCCGATTCAAAAATGAATGGATAAAAGCCTCTTTGAAAATTGCGCGGTTATGATACCGGTAGTGCTCCTGGTACTTGTATCGCGGCCTACCCAAAAGGACTCTTCTCAAGGGTTTTTGCGTACGGTACGTGCCGTTAGTGATGGACCATGGTATCCCACGAGAGGTCAGATCGTTCAACCTGGTCCTCTCATTCCCACCCACCAATCAGCGAAGCAACACATGCCGTGTAACAACAGATCCAGAACTTTGGAATACCTGCCCATGACGTTGCCAAGGCTTTGAACACACCTCTGGTTGCTAGCACGATAGATAGTCTCACTCACCCGAAAGCCTTGCTCGAGTTGTCGGCACTACGTAGACTATTCCCTTCATCTCTCTACCCGCACCGTATCACCGCACCTGACTAACCGCTTTTATCCCTATCACTATTGCCACCACCAAAAGCCCCCCTCCCCCCACGGGCATCACAAAAGAATGCTAAACCGCAGCCTACCAGAACTCCTCTTCATAAGAACCTGCATAACATCCTTACGATCCATCCCCCCGCTCAGCACGCTCTACACTCTCTCCCGATTCACCATTCTACCATCCAACCTCCGTTTGCCAATAGCGCTAGAAGTATACCTATTTTCGGAAGCACTATTCTTCACTGTGGTGTACATTCCTCGAAAACTGATCTTACAAAAGGTTACCCCCGCACCTCTATTCCCTGTGCGAAGGAAGAAAAGAAGGATGGGGAACTAACGGGAAATGATACTATAACAGCCAGCACAACACCCTCCGCCCTCCCCGCGCTCCGGCCGACAGGCTCTATTCGAGAAATGCATTGACGAGACCCCGGATGTGGGTGCCTACCTCTCTGGTTGGTTCCATGGCGCCGCCGTGAAAACGATCAAGCGGGAGAACGTGAGGGAATTTCTCTCCTGGGCCTTCTTAAACAGGCCGCGGGGCGGAGGGGCGGAAGAGTTCGCCGAGTTGGAGGAGTACATCTGTCTGCTCGAAAACAGGCTCGGAGGAGGGTTCGAGAAGGGATACGATAGGGAGGTAAAGTGCGTCAGGCCAACGGTTGATGAGGTGGTCATGGAGTACAGGAGTTTGCTCTGGTATTTTGTCGGTATTCTCATCCGTTGCAGGGGGCGGTGGTGGCGGCTGCTGACGGACGGATGGACATGATAGATCGTCTACATCGTGGATTTGGCAACCTTCATACGCTTCCGCCTCCACTCATTCAGCCACTTCGCCCCAGGAGCCTGGCTCCGCATCCTCCCACCACGCCCACACACAACCTTCTCCTCCCTCTCACCCACGCGTCACATCTCGTACTGGCAGCGTCCGCATAACCACCCTACCAAGCTCCCTATCGTCTTCCTCCATGGTATCGGCATCGGACTACACCCTTACATATCCTTCCTCCACGACCTCGCGGACCTAGACCCAACAGTCGGCATTCTAGTCTTGGAATTGATGCCGATGAGCTTTCGCTTATCCCACACTCCACTGTCCAGGTCTGCCTTCACGGAGGAGTTTACAGCCATCCTAACACAGCACGACATCCAAAACCTCGTGCTGATCTCGCATTCCTACGGAACCGTGCTATCCACCTGGCTACTGCATTCCGAACACTTATCCCCAAGAATCTCATCCCTAGTGCTTATAGACCCGGTGGCCATCTTACTCCACCACCCCTCCGTAGCATACAACTTTGTCCACCGCGCCCCAAGCACGGCGAACGAATGGCAACTACAATACTTCGCCTCCAGGGACCCGGACGTGGCGCATTCAGTCTCCCGCCACTTCTTCTGGGCGGAGAACATCCTCTGGAAGGAAGAGCTCACCGGGAGGAAAGTTGGCGTGGTGATCAGCGGGAGCGACCTGATTGCCGATGCGCCCGAGTGCTGGAGGTACCTCACGGGCCGAGATGCGCCGAAAAGCGAGAGCGGAAATGTGGTCTGGACCGGCGAGACGGGGGATTTGACCGTGATTTGGTGCGAAGGGGTGGACCACGCGCAGGTTTTCGATACGCAGGCGAGGAGGAGGGTTGTTGTCGCCCTTGCTGAGTTTCTCGGGGACGAATAGGGGGGGGGGGGTATTGTATGATGTCACCGCGATGCGGAGACCCTTTGTAGAAACCCAATTCTACCCTAATTACCCGAGTACTATTGATTTCGGCTTCGAGTATCATAACCGAAGGACATTAATACACTCCGCGAGTAAATCTCTATAACCTACAACCCGTCTACCCCATCTTTGGCAATAACACCCGAGAAAGATACTCCACAAACAAGCACTCAGAGTATAAACCCCTATCACACGTATGATACCCCAAATACAAATACAGTACCGTACATACAACCCCACAAATTGACAAAGCCGTTCCAATACCATCCCATCACCAAGAGAGAAACTCTATCCATCCATCTTCAAGCGGGGCGCAGGACAAGATTCTATATGGTAAGATATGCCGTATGATACACCACAGTATAATACAAGCACCCCCTCCATCAACATCATACTGCCATATATATATACAACAGATCTCTAGCCAGACCACAAGGAAGTACCGATTACCCATTTCTCTTTCTTTCTTTCTTTTCTATTATCCCCATTTCCCTCCCCCCGCTACGGGTGCAGGCCTGGAGATCTTGCCAACAGTGAAACATCTTCATACTAGGTTAATTATGCCTCCGAAACCTCTCGCGAAAACCAAAAGTACTGCCGGTCCGCATCAACTCTTCCATATTGGAGCTCCATTTTATTATTTTTCGTTGTAGAGGAATTGGGTTTTTCTGTCTGTTTCGCACAGGCAGCTACATCTATATACATACTGCATTTCCTAGAACCCAAGTGTACCAGTACTGTACCGGTACCCGAACCCTTCTTGCAATTTCTCACAATTCGAGTGATCATTCATGAGTATCCCAATCTGATGTCTGTTCGTGCCCAGAAACGTGATTTTTATTCCACAGACCGTGCGAGGGCGTCAGCCAGCAGCCCCCTTCGCCCCTGCTTCACCACTACTTGCTAAGAAAGAAAAGAGCATGAAATCATGGAGCTAAACAAAAAAAAAAAACAATACACCAGCCCCCAGGAAAAAGAGCAAAAAACAGGAATCTCCAAGCAGAGTAATTGATACAGCTAAAGAAATGCCATCCGCGGATCGTGACGCTCGTCAGAAGAGAGAAAATGAGGCAGGAAAAAAAAGAGAAAAAACCTCCCCCCCGAGATATAAAGAAGCGAACAATTCTTCAGAATTCTAAAGAACCGCCCAACCTAACAACTACAAGGGGGCAAGCCAAGATAGGATGAGGAAAAAGTTCACTCCTAAGCAAAATATTTGGCCTTGGCCCTGCTCTGCCCGGAATGGGCGCTCTCGGTATGGCCAGAGAACTCAACTAAATCCTTATCACCAAGCTTTAGGACCCCTTTGAACTTCTTGCCAATCTCCATCAACGCCGCTTCCTTTGGAGTGCCTTTCCCACCACCGGTAGTCTTGGTCCAGAGACCGATTCTATAGAACGCCTTGCGAACGTTCACAACAGCGCCCATGATTTCCTTATCCTTATCCGACTCTAAAGTCTCGCCGATGGCAGCAAGTATGACGTTAAGCCAGAGATCATCGATCGGAACACCACGCTTATCCTTGAATTGATACGCCCATTTACCGCCGTGCTTGTTCTGGGTATCTTCCCATTCAGGCCGAACACCAGTCTTGAAGAGGTGGTAATCGGATTTCAAACCAAGTTCGGATGTTTTCAGTATGTTATTCTGCAAAAAGAGCTAGTTGTCAGCGCTGCAGATGTCAGGCGGGAGCAGGAGAAACATACATAAATCCCCCAGAACTCCTCAACAGAATCAAAAGTGACAACCTCCTTGAGCAAATCATTCCAACTGATTTCTCCCTGAATTAAACAAAGTTAGCGGCAAGCCCAAGCCAGAGAACTCGAGCGAGCGCATAAAGCATACAGTCCGCTAGAATCTCACACAAGCAGGGTACGGTACGGCACCAACCTTATTATTGCTCGGAGGCTTGGTATACCAAAGGGTCCACTTATTCATGAGGGGATGCTTGACATTAAAGTTGTCAGGAGAGTGAAAGACGGTGAGCTGCTGCTTATTTCCAGGGAGTCCAAGACCGCCCTCCCCGGTCTCCTCCTCAACCTCGCCATTAGGAGGGGAGACAGGAATCTGATCGAGAGGGCGCTGCTCGTCAGGAATAACACTACCCGAAGCTTCAGTCTCAGGCATGATGAAAGTAGGTGTAGGTGCGATGTCTTCAAAAGACAAGAAGGATTCGTAGGGTAGATGTTGTTTGCGAGAACAAAATAGGGGAGTGGTTGCTGGGGGGTGTGGATGACGGGCTGGTCTGATTGCGGAAATCAAAGTTTCGGAAAGAGGAATGTCGAAGTCTCAGGTAGTTGGTGGGGGAGCAGAGCAGGCTGGAGGTGGGGCTGAGCCTCTAAGATAGCAAACGGTAGAAGAAAAAAAAAAACGAAAGAAGACGAAATACGCCAAGACAATGCTTTGTTCTCTGTGGAGCACTCTAGCCCTATCGAAACGTTTCAACCCACCCCCATCTTCGTCCTGATACAGATCCTGAAGGAGAGAAAACATAAACCATGCCTCTCCTACCAACCTTCTCACGGACCGTAGGGTTAGCTCTCCGACCAAACTATCACTCGCCTATTCAGGTAGTCTCTGTGGTTCGGTTACAGCAGTGTCGCTTTGCCTCTATCCTTGGAGATTTGCACGATGTGAAGGCTTCCTTCAAGAAACGGATTCGCAGGGGCCGCGGCCCCTCGTCGGGGAAGGGGAAAACATCAGGGAGGGGTCACAAGGGTCAGAAGCAGCATGGAAAAGTCCCCGCTGGATTCCAAGGGGGCCAAACACCATTACATATTACACACCCCGAGAAGGGTGAAGTCAATCTGTGTGCCCCATTTCATCTCATCTATGGGGCAGTATTAAGCTGATTGATGGATCAACAGCTTCGCCCTAGAAATGTCTCCACTGAATCTCGACAGGTTACAAAGCTGGATTGACCAAGGCCGAATAGACCCCGCCAAGCCCATCACCTTCAAGGAGCTTGTGGATACTAGATGCCTACATGGTATCAAAGACGGCGTAAAGCTGCTAGCCCGGGTACGTCATATAAACTCTCCCCAGATGCCCAGCTCCCGGCGCTCATGCTGATATCTCAACAGAGAAAACACGTCTTCAAAACCCCCATAGAAATCACCGTCTCCCGTGCTTCCCGCGAAGCCATAAAAGCTGTCGAAGGTGCTGGCGGCAAGATCGTGACGCGCTTCTTCAACAAGAATGGCATCAGAGCCGTCTTGCATCCGGAGTGCTACCCACCGAACGTACGACTGGCCAACCCGACAGCACGTAAAGAAATTGAGTACTACAGAGACCCGGAGCATAGGGGGTATCTGGCGCATACCCTAGATGAAGGGGAATCACCGAGTTTGTTCTGGCAGGCACCCGGGAAGACGAAGAATGCGCTCTCCAAGGAGCAGCTACAGAAGAAGAAGGAGAAGCAGGCTAATAGGCTGTTTTAGTCTGGAATTTCTTGTTTTGTTTGTTTAAGGGAACTGTATTTATCTAGAGATGGGTTCGATGCGATTGGATGTACCTAGTAACCAGGTGCTGTATAGAGATTAGGTATCTACCTAGGGAGTGGTCAATTCTAGGCTTCAGCGAGCCGGTGTTCTGTGTACGAGTACATCTATCGGTACCTCCGGAGCTCTCCGCATTCCCGAGACACTTTTTGTTACCACACCGGTATCGCACAGCTGCCAACAATCCAATACCTGTATCACACAATGCCCAATTCCGCTAGGTCACGCTACAGACCCATTGTCAATCCTGGTGTCGCTCAAGCAGCAATCCGATCGGAGAGCAGCAGAAGCCACGTACTGTGCGGTATGCTCAAGCACTCCTCATAAAAGCATCTCCAAACGAACCTCCACCCCCACTACTGCACTCAGCACGGCATCACCTGGCGAGATTCACCCAACGCTAGTTCGTCAGTACGATAAGAGTTTTCTTGCAGTCCGCCTCGAATTCGCAACAGAAACTCCTTCGCGCTACCCTTTATGGCCAGCTCCAGGCCCATTTTGGACTCTTCTTGACCGTATTGGATGTTTTACTCCAGCCCCCACAGTGCTCGGGCACTCCAGCGACACGGAGGTACGGTATTCATCTGGAGTGGTTTCTGGTACTGCTCATCAGTAAATTTCCGTGTGCCTCCACTTCCGCAACTGCTGCACTCCCTCCGGCCTACTTGAATTCCCTATCTTGTATGTCCTATTGCCCCCCGATCTTGCGCCCGACTGCGGATCCGTGGCGCTGGCTCCGGAACCACGGTTGCTGACCATTTACGACCTTGTGTAGCGGAGCCGAGCTTGCATGGCTAAGGTTGAAAGTGCCATACAAGGCGGCCAACTTCAACTCCGCACGGAAAACAAACCTGGGTTGAGATTTGATTTAAAGGACTGAAGGGGCAAGGGGTGAAGGGCGCAAGAAAGGAACCGAATTTAGAGTATGATCATGGGTGAGAAAGGAGGATGGGGAAAGGAAGGAATAGCAACACAATGATTGCATCTGGGCAGCAAGGGCAGAACTCCACACTTCAAGCCCGCAGAGAGTTCCATGGTAAGCCCAGTGTTTTACAGTTCGGGTTAAGGTGCTAAAAGGAAAATCCGACATAATATTGGGGCTCTGAACCGCGTGCTTGGTACAGAAGAAAACTCCCCTCCCCGGGCGAGCTGCGTAAAAAGCAGAAACAACCGATGGGAAGCCATGCAAACCCCTCGGGGTAGCGCGGCTACCTCCCGCGCCCCGTAACCATACAAACGCGTATAAAGAAACTCGTGTAAACCTCATATATAAAATACAGGAGTGTGATCGGTACACACCACTTGGTAGGCTACCCTTGCTTCAGGCCCGACCCCTGCGCATTAAGGCGGCCAAAAGGCTCAAACCCCGTTCTCTCCGCAGCTCTTGGACCGCTCACAATCTCACCCATCATGTCCGAACCAGGCGCGAAATCCACTTCGAAGAAAGGCTCTCCAACCCCTTCATCTTGACAAGCACCGCCTGACGAAAATGCCAACGAAAAAGCTGATCAGCCGGCCGAAGTGGGTGGTTGAGGAGCTGATCGAATTGTCTGCCGGAAATTCCATAGCCCTCAGCAAGAGATCTGAAGTAAATGACCTTATGACCATCCTAAACTAGTATCAGCAACGAACACCACAGGCCCTTCAAGTTCAAGGTAACAGCACATCTGGATTAATTGACAGCTCATGGGACCAAAAAGTTTGTGCATTGCGACTTCAAGTAATATGCCATTCTGCGCAGAGTTGATGGAACCATCGGATTCCGATCCCGGCGGAATGTTGATCCATCGACTATAGTGGCAGTCGTTGAAGCGCCCCTCATATGCTAAAGGAAACATATGAGCGGCCTCGAGGACTAATTAGCACCTCCGGACACGGTCAGGCGGTTCTCTAGAACGCATCTCTGATCTCGCTCACGTACAGCGATCCGAAAGGACCTAGCTCGGGTGTCGGCCTGCAGCGAAACCGTACGAAATAGAGGAACTCCATTGGTGACGATGGCGGAGCCTATCGCGAGTGAGTGGGAGGCAGGCAGTCACCGAAGCACGGGGGGGACCCACCAGCAGTGACAATGTAGTATTTACCCGGCCGAAGTGGGTGCCCATCTCCCTCAACCGGCTGCCTAGAATCGTCTTGTAGGCGGAAAGTACCGGTAAAGATACAGAAAATCTCCACCATTGAATACCGGTAGAGGCAAGCGTTGGCCGCGCCTTCTATCCTCCGAGCACAGCATGATGGTCGCTGGAAGCGTAAATGAAGGTATTGCGCAACGCGGAGCGATCGGGGGACAAGATCTGTGCGAGCCTATCTTGGCTTGTGGATGGTGTCACTCCAGCTCAGGGTAGGAAGGAAGTGATGATCGGGTCGAAGGAAAGGGGTACGTTTGCTCCCGTGAAGAAGAAAGGGAGCCTGGCATTGGTGATGAAGACGGAATGCTAGCAGACAGAGGGAGGTGGGTGTTGCGTGGGAGCACCTAAGAAAGGGCAAACAAACCATATCTAACCGCCAACCGGGTAACCACTGCTTACGACAAGTGTGACATGATACGGTACGGTACAGGTAGCTCTACGAGTGCGGCCGATAAATATATTCGTCACGTGCCTTATCTAAGGACACATCACAGCCAAAAGGTGCACCGAAATTTTCTTATCAGACTCACGTGACGAATAAATCTATCGGCCACACTCGTACTCGAGCATAGTACTTTATCCCAACGTATGTATGATGTATGATACCCTTGCATTACGGTAGCGGCAGGCGGATCTTGCCAGATATCATCATATCGTCCGGCACCATAGACTACTTGTATGATACGAGTACTCGTACCCCCTCCGCGCTCGCCAACCGAGGCTAGCCAACCAGTCCCTCTAACCAAGGCCACCACGACCAGGCGCGGCCTATCGATACAAGTACAGTACTAGTAGGCCTCAAACCCAAGCGCACCGTCCTTCACTCACAACCCCCCCAACAAACTCCGTCCCTTTCGCAACTTGACCACTGCCGCGGGGAGGGGGGCACGGCACTACACGTGTAGTATGGTGCACGGCTGGCTAAGTGGCTACGAAATCTAGTTACTCGAAGCCCCTTCGCGTTACAGTACGAATACCGGCGCAGCTCAATTCCCAGTGTCGAAGTGTCTCTGTTGACTTTCGGGATTGGATGTGTGTCCTCAACCAAGCTGGCACCTGCACGAAAAGGTTGTCTGTGACCACAAGATATACTATCAGAGAGGGGCAAGAATTTCACTAGAAGAGGGAAGTAATCGAACTTGGTTTTGACAGAAAAAGAAACGCTCTATATTTGCTTGTCGAGATGAGGTGTTTTCATCTTTACCCCCCCCCCCGTTGTATGATATCATACTAGTACGTACAGGAGAAGGTAGAGCTAGTCTTATAGGGGAAATTTTCCATTTGCCAAGCCACTTTTCAAACAGAAAATTGTAGGGGGACAAAACCTGACAATACTCGAGTAAGTTACCGGCAAACCTACACTACTCGAGTACGGTATGATGCTTTCCGCCACACCAGTTATTGCAGAGTTAGGGCTGGACCACTCGTACTAGTTATCATATGAAACTCCACAGTCAGGTTGGGGGGGAAGAGGGGAGGGTCGGTAGTGGGACGGCATTCTGGCCCGAGGGAATTAAAGACCGACTTACCGGTACTAGTAGTCGCCGCCAGCCACGGAAGGGAGTGCGGTGGTGCTGGTACGAGATGTACTCGAGTACACGTGTGGGTTTCCGTGAGCATTACTGGTTTTCGGCGGACGGTATGATAGGTATCGTATGTACGAGTACGACCACGCCCGCAAAGCTCTTCGTGGAAAAGGATGCATCATATCATGGCAAGGTCTTAGCGGCAACGGAAGTGCTGGCGCAAAGCACTGGGAGGATACAGAGCTTTGGGAGATGTTTCCAGTCCAAATTAGAGCCGGGCAACAGACCTACGCTACCCATCGACTTGAAGTGGTGGCAGCAAAATTCACTTGTACTTCCCGTGGTAGATCTATTCGTACTGGGAATGACTAGCAATGGGGGTGCCATTTTTTAATATAAAACTCAGACCACGCATGCATAATATTTTGTACGAGCACTGTACTCGAGTACTGGTACGGCTGGTCGTGAGCAAGTGTTCGGGTAAGCGACTGACTGACATATAGTCAATTTCGGCATCAGTAGTCGTTCCTCTCGCCACCTCTATCGCTCTTTCCAGAACCAGTTCACCGTGGTTTTCCTTCCCTCCGCTAGCTTTCCGCCTCTCACGACGAGCGGCTGGATTCAGGGGGTCTGGTCTACCGGTGCTCGTGCTCGAGCACCACAGATACCGGTTCCTGCTGCGCTTGTGGGAGGGTGAGGACATTGAGAAATGTGAAGATAAACCGACCACGGAGATCTGGAAGGTCTGCAGGCAATTCAAGATCTAGCACCTTCGATCCCTTCGTCCGTATCCGCCGCTTTCCTGTTTCCCCAGGGTTGTTCCGGGATTAAGGATGACTTACGTATGGTGAGGGACGTCTGTAGCCGGAGTGGGCGGACATTCATCACAGCTTAGCAAAAGTAAGTTAATATGCCAAGCAGGAGACTTAATAGAGGTTATTCTCTTGGCAAACATCCATTAACTAACTGTGCCAAGAAAATTAACAGAAATTAACATGCTCCGGACATTCCCCAAAAGTTCACCTAGTTTTAAACCCTTATAACTCCATGAAAACTTGTGGTATTTTCATTTTCTCTCTATTAATGTGTAGAGGACCTCCTACTGTATCATCTAATAGAGCTATAATTCTCACCAGAGCGGTTGTTGAAATGCCTTTGCGGCTCGAAGTTGAGCAATAATTTCTTGGCAAATTACTCCGGCTACAGAAGTCCCTCACCATAGTCCAAGTGCATTGATTGACAAGCGGATGCTTTCTACTCGAGAACCCCTGAGTTATTGGTCGCGTCACAGCAAGAGCTCCCCGGCCATACTACCGGCAGGGCACATTTGGCAAGGATTGTCGGTTAAGCTACCGGTAAGGCCGCTAAGCGCGCTAAAGTGCTGCGAAATCTGAGGACAGATTACGGTAGACTATCATACTCGAGTACAGGTAACGGACCGCCAGAGCCCTGCCTATGTAGTTAACATACCGGTAGACTACTCCTCACCAAGCTTGGCACCACTTCGATCTTGATCCATTGCAGCGACCTACTCCACTGGGGCTGCGGAAGGGGGTTGAGGTGTCATCTCGGTGCCTATGGCGCTCCTCGATTCCGCTCTTTTCCGTTCCAATATATCGGTAGTAGCGCAAGCTCGTTACCTAGCTACCATACTCGAGGACAGTACGATACATGGGTGTACCTAGTTGAGGCAGGCGGGCTCAGCAGAGTCAACACTGCCGGTACCGTACAAGTACCATCTCCCGCCCACAAAAGTCTCGTTTGTCGCACCGCGCCCCCACTTCATACCCGAGAGCCTATCTCGATTCAGGGTCCTGATGACTGGTCGCTGGCCTGTATCGCATCGTAGTAGCATACGGGTAGTGCTTGTAGAGTCCGGTACCGGTGGGGTAGTCAAGAGCACTACCGCACGAGTACTTGTACAGTGCAGTATTGTCTTGTCCCCCGCTGGCTGGGCGAGAGGGCTCGGCTAGGGTGCTTACAGGGCCTCGCATCATGCGCGAGAGTGCAGCGAATGACAGACCTTGCCTCAATGATGGAATGCTCCCAGCCTGAGAAGGATACGGTCGGACACTCGGTACTCGAGTACGGTGGGGCAGGTGTAACGCTTGTGTTATTGGCGCTGCCTTGGGGCACCGGTCTTCCCAAGTAAGGGCCGATTTCGATCATGAGCGTCATGGGGTATATAGTATGGTGACCTGTCGGTAACCCAAGGCAGGGCCTCCTATCGTAGCACTCGGTAGCACCGATGGTATGTAGGCATGAACACTATGATTCGGGGCCTGAGTGAGCGGATGGGTGATTGGTATGTTAGGACGTCACGTATGTTACCGGTACCGTCCGGTGGAATTCAGTCTAATACCGGTATGATGGTGTGCGGGCTGTGATGATAGTCTAACCTTACGAGTACTTTGGTGATGGGAGGGTGAGTTAATAAACCGCTCCTTGTTTCCCATCACACAGTCATGATATACCGGTAGTGTTATAGCTTGGCCACATACCGGTCGGTACCATGTTTACTCTACTCGCTCGTACTTGGTGGATTGGGGGACGAAGGAGGTTAATAGCTCCTTGGAGCTTCGGACCACCCACTCCGTTAGATTCATATCACGACCTTCCTTTCTCTCCCTCTCCTCCCTCTCCCTTCCCCTTGGCCCCTTTTGCTATTTTTCCTGCCTACGGTACTCTTCCCCCCCCCTCCCTCCTCCTCCTCCTCCTCTCCCTCCTCCTCCTTCCTTCCTCTCGCCATCTCCTGCACGCTCCTTCCCGCCCCTGCACGCTGTTCACTCCCGCGGGTCCCCCCGCTCCAGAACAGTCCAATTTTAAAGCCGATACCAAAGCTCATCTCTTTAAGCTCCTCCGCCAGCGCTTTCCGCCTATCAAACCAATCATACCATAACCACTCATACCATTGTGTAATCTCGTGACGGCACCTTTCAAGTGAACGGGCGTTAGCTACGGTGCTTTTTGTTGGGGTGTGCCGTTGCAGCAAGCTTCCCTTCCCCCCCATCTTCTCATCCGGCTAGCTATTCGCCCTACGTGACCCTTCTGTACCGTATCACACCCGCACTATATCTCCTGTTCGGGTCCTTCTGCGTCCTGTCTGGTCCGGTATGTTAATTTGATGGTGTGCTAGTTGGGCCAGCTGTGTTCTTTCCACTTCTACCTGAGCTTACCCTTTCCCCTTTCTCGCTCGCTCCCCTTTCCCCCCTTTCCTCCCTCTACTCCTCCGCGCACTGTGCACTCGCCAGTGTCCTGTACTCGTAGCTCACAGGGGAATAGAACCTTCTCCCCACGATACTTTACGACTACCCGCCTACCGACACCACCACTACCGGTATCACTCGTTAGGATCGGCGATATAATCGGTCTTATCGGTTTCAATCGATTCGGTTCACGAGGTTTCGGACTGAAAAAGTGGAGAAAAGGGGTTCGTTGGCTCGGTATCTCTGTTGCACCTCGGTGACCTCACGCCCAATAGGACAAACGGGAACGAGATGCATCCATCGCCTTTCCCGCAGGCTTCTGGATCGAGCGGCTCCCGGCCTGTGAATTTTGCCAGGAATCAGGTAGCCCCCACGGCTAGTGGCACCCATACAGGAGGTTTGTCTTAATTTTCTCTTGATTTCTGTGGATGTTTAAGATTCCTGTCGGAGAATTTTCTGCCTTGCAAATGCGGAGAGAGTGATTATTGATATGCTTGAAAAAGATATATAAGAGACAATAGACGGTAAACGCGTGTGCTAACATTTTCTAGAAGCCGATTCCTGGATAGAGGTGGCTTCCCACCCGAGCGATAGCGCGTACACATCCTCATCAGACGAACACATCATAACCGCTGGGCTTCAAGTCTCCGCCGCCCGCCGAAAGCGTAGATCCACGTTCCGCGATGCCAAAACCCCCCATCCACAGACCGGCGTAGCTCAGGAATCCGAGGATGGCCCGTCAGAGAATGGCGAGGGAGAAGAAGAAGAAGAAGAAGAAGAAGAAGGCGAGGATATGGGATCCATGATCAACGAAATGCCTATGAGCTCGGACGGATACTCATCTCCGGATGATGATGATGATAATGATGATGATAGCGATGATGAAGCAAGCGCTTCAGATGATGCACCTGCTCCGAGGATAGTCTTTTCTGCATCCTCTCAGCAACGCCCATTTCAGGGTAGGAGTCAGATGACACCTGCTTCTCGCCGTCATGGACCTGGCGGGCTTAATGTGTTCGCCCCGAACCATGCAACGGATCACGATGAGGTGTTGCGGGCATCGTTGTCTACGCTCTTGAGCTGTGCGGCCGCGGCAAGGGGTTTGACCAAGTCCCCACCGCAATCACAGGCTTCCGGTCAGGCACAGACCGCATCCCAACAGAGTGGAAGAGTAGCGGTAGAAGGCATTCGCGTGGTCAGAGAGGACAACCTCCCGAGCGAAGCTAGCGGCTCAGTGAACGGAATGAGCAGGCGCGGATCTGTGATTTCCGCAGCAGACTCTGCATCCTCTTCCTCCTCATCCCCGCTAGATCGGGCCCCTTCCGGAAACACCGAGAAAGCAAGGAAGAAGACCCGACGCTCCGACAGAAAATCTAGATCAAAGACCCGTTCTAAGCCCGCCCGGCCACAGGAAACCCCGGAAGGCGGCGACTTCATATCCGCCCTTGGCGTCTCCTACGCCACGCTGGCAATCTCTGCCGGTGCTATCGTCCTCCTCAGCGCAATCACCTTCTCAGCAGGATACGCCATGGGCCGGGAAGTCGGAAAACCGGAGGGTGGGCTCTTCGGCCGGATCACTGGTGGTGGGTCAGAAAGGGGTAAGGCGGTTGTTAGGGGGTTAAGTAGAGCTGGTGGCGGGGGGTTGCGTGGTGTTGCTGGGAGGGGGATTTTGATGGGTGGTGGTATTGGGAGCGTTACTGCCTGAGTAGAGAGAGTGTGTGGACTAGAGATGACCTCTCCCCAAGCGTTTTCACAACACGATGAATGATACGAAATTGGTGTTTGGTCTTGGTTATTTTTTTCTTCTTCAAATGTTCGTCTCGGGCTGGACTGGGTTGGGGACTGGTTTGGTTGGTTGGTCGGATAGGGGTAGCTTTCGTTCCTTCACTTCCTTTCGCTGTTCGTGGTCATTAACGTTTTTCTTTCTTTCTTTCTTTCCTTCGTTTATATTATTTTATTTTAATTTTACATTTTTTTATTTTACGCCTTCCGTTAGCACACTGGGCACAAGTGTTTGTGCTCCGTTTCATAATAGCAGTATAGTACAACCTCCCGTGGTCACGACATTCCAGCCAGTTACAGTATTACAATAACAACACCCTCGCACTCCTAGCCTCGTTCAATCAATCATTCAAACATCCGTCCTCAACCCCCCCACCCCATCCTCAAAACCTCACAATACTGCCTACCCGTATCCAGCACAGACCATTCCTCCCCTTCAGCCCTCTTTCCCCCGCCCTTCCCCACAAACGTGAACCGGCCAGCCGGCCACCCAAGCCCCTCCACGAATCCGCGAATCACTCCCTCCGCGACTGCGAGCGTGCTGCACGGCGCGTACTCCACTTCCACCAACACACCCTTCCACACATCGCCCTGCATGATGTTTGCGATGCGTACCTTGAAGTCATCCACCTCGTACACCACCCCCTCCCCACGCAGCGTCTGTCGGGGGCTCCACAACGCGGATAACTTGGAGCGCACCAGCAGCTCAAATTCGCGGTCCAGTGTCACGATGGCCGAGGGTGTTGACACGATGAGCCTTTGCGGGTAGTGGGGGAGGTCGAGGTATTGCATGTAGTTCCCCCCCGCCGGGAGTTGCTGGTGGGTCTGGGGGGATTGGTTGTTGGACGGGGAGGAGGAGGTTGTGGGGGAGGCGGCGGAAGTGCCCGAGGGGATGGTTTTCTGGAGGAGGCGGTGCTCCAGAGCCCATTTTCCGGTGTAGAGGGGTTGATGACACTTTCCCAGGTGGTCCGCTAGCAGCGGGACCATGTTCTGTGCTGGTGTGGTCAGGGGGGTGTTTATCCAGTAGATTCTGGAGATTGTTAGTTGGGTCCGCAACCAAGGGGGTGGGAAGGAGGAGTAGGGAAGTATGATACCCTGTTACCGGCATTCTCGCGAGATTAGGCGGATAAGCGATAGAATGTTAGAGGGAGTGTGCCAATCAATATTGGTGACGCGATGTGGTAGTGATGGGTGAGCTCGTTGTTCCACCTCAAATTTTGGTCCCGAGTGGTTGCGGTGTTTACTTGCGGGAGCGCTCGCTTTGCGCCATTTTTGTTCGGGCGGATTAGCTCTGGTGCCAAGACAAAGCTTGGACGCTTGGTGGCATGAAATGATGACCGCACCTGAGGCTCAAGTGTGGGGATGATTGAGCCTCACACTGACGTCCGGAATTCCCACGGCCTCTACGTACTGTATGTACGAGTATGTATGAATTATGAATTATGGGGGAAACCCTGGAAACACTACGACTAGTCTAATTTTCACCCCCACCGATAAGGCAGATAATACCGGTATGGGAAAAAAAGAAATATGTAATGGACCTTACTATGATAGGATGGGAAACTCCAACGTCTTAACTCGACATCCAATCGTTCCGGTCTCTCCCGCTATTGTGCTTGTAGTGCTGTACTTTGTACGTAGTACGGTATAGATGAGCTGTCGTACCAGTACGGTGCGGCCTTTGAGAGATGGAAAGTGCTCTAGTATGATACAGTATATGCCCACTCACTCTCCTGAGGAAGGAGGAAGGAGGAACGGGGTGGGGGGATGGGGGCGCATCTGTATGATCGAAAAACACCGCAGCGGGCCAAACCCTCGGGTGGCAATCACTGAAGTACGGTAGGGGGGTCCCGGGTGGTTCCTGCTGGTCCTACGAGTACGAGTAGAGTATGATTGCATGTACAGTATCATACATACCAGCACCATACCTATTCTGCAAGGTTCAATGATAGTATAATAGGCGGTGGGGTGATATGATATTAAATACCCTACACGCTGCTTACGGATAACCCTCAATCGAAGATTATAATTGTGGGGATGGGACAGGTTTGGATTTATATATATATATATATATATCATACGTTGGATGGTTATTGATCGGAAATACGGGTATGGTGGGGTACTTGTGTATGCTACTGGGGTAGCTAGGGGGCTTGTGACTGTCGTTCCGGCGGAATTTGAAAATTGGATCCTTTGGGAGTGCTATTTGGGTGGGTGGGCGGATGTGAGGGACGGACGTGCGGGAGTGTATGATATCTAGGGACGAGAGGGAACTAAAATGGGAAGGGGTGGTTGAGGAGTGGCTGGTAGGTATTTGGAAATACTAGGCTCGGGAATGGGGGACTGACGATTGATGAGCGGTGATCTGAGGGAAAATCCGAACAGCTATGCAGTATCATATGTACGATCCTCAACACACATCTGGCGTACTATTTGCGCGAGGAACACGGGGGATCGGAGAAATGGTTTGGGAAATAAATAACAAAAAAAGAGGTAAAGGGAAAAGGAGGATCTATAACAAGGAAGCAGTGCGCCGGTAAAAGTAAGTGCAAGAACATGAATGAGTTCGGGAAGAATTAGGAGAATGCCCTCCGCTTCTATACGCCATACTCCTAGCAGAGGGACTAAGAAATCTTCACTCGCTTATACCGCTAAATATCTGGGAAAAATTTCGTTAATGGTATAATACATGTGTTGTATATTACAGGGAAACGAAAAATTTCACATCTCGAGTTTTGAAGTTTAGCAAGAGGACTAGCCTAGAAGAAGAGGAAAGGTGCCAAGGGAAAGACGGCGGACTGTATCATGGGCTCCAGAGATCCGGAAAAGACACAGAAGGGGTGAAAACCAGAATATGGGGTACGGCTGTGGGCGCGGTGCGGGAATAACAGATAGCTATGGCCAAAGGCTAGAAGAAGGTAACGGGGGCTGTAACTTGTCGACCTCAACCCGGACTGAGTCTTGTAGTAGATTTAACACTTCTTGGTGTCCATTCGCAGACGCAAAAAAGAGCGGTGTGTGACCATTTTTATCTGGCCCGTCGGGGTTGACATCCTGCTGCCCCAGTAGTAGACTCACTATTGGTTGTGCCCCTCCCCGGCAGACCAGGAGAGGGGCGTCCTTCCCTCACCGTCTGGCTTGTCGGGGTTGACGTCTTCCCGGTCCAAAAACTGCTTAACCACTGATTCGTGCCCCCTAATTGTAGCCCAGGAAAGAGGTGTCCTGCCCTTGTCGTCCAGCTTGTTGGGGTCGACGTCTTCCCGGCCCAAAAGTTGCTTAACCACAAGC